ACAGGAAACCTAAGTCACACTGCTCAGCAACTCTCTGAGAACAAGACTGTTCTCAAAGAGGAAACAAGACGAAAGGCCAATAGAACCAAGTCTATGGAGAGGGAAAGAAATTACCTAGAAGTGGTTGTGGCACACTGGTGGTAGAGGTGGTGTGGTAACACCGTATATTTAAGTAAGCCTAAAATATTAATACTAATACTACAGTGAATTATTTTACCACAATAAAAAAATCATTCAGGAGCTACCAAGCTCTGTGTAGAGGATGCTCGGGCTATATCCCTAGCATTACGTGGTTCCATGTGCACTGCCAGGTGTGTCCCCCAAATTATACCCATTTTATTATTTTTAAAAAATAAAGGGGTGGGGAACCAGAGAGATCATGGTGAGTAGGAAGGGGATTTTATTTTTTTATTATATTTTTTTTATTAGTGAAACACCATGAGGTACAGTTGTAGACTTACAAACTTTCGCGCTTGGGTTTCAGTTATACAATGATCGAGTACCCATCCCTCCACCAGTGCCCATTCTCTATCACCAATGATCTTAGTAGCCCGCCCACCCCCACACCACATCCCCCCTCCCCCTGTGGCAGGGCATTCCCTTTCGCTCACTCTTTCGGGAAGGGAATTTTAAATCTCTTGCCTTGCATGTAGTAACACTAGTGAGACCCCCTGCACTGCATTCTGCACCACATACAGTCTCCTGAGCACTGCCAGGAGTGATCCCGGAGCACAGAGTCAGAAAGAAGCCCTAATCACAGCCAGATGTGAACCCAAACCTCCCCCAAAACAAACAACCCTCACCAAGCTAAGGATGTAGTTTTGGTGAAGAGCACATGGCTCACATGAATGAAGCTCTGAGTTCAATCTCACTGACATACATATATCCACATATAATTATAATCTGACATTACTAGTTCAAAATGGTGGGAGGACAGTGGTGGGGGTTTGGACCAACACTTTGCGGTGCTCAGGACTTATTCCTGATGGTCCTCAGGGGATCATATGTGGTGCTGGGATTCATCTGTTGTTGAGTACATTTTCCTAAAACTGTTTGTTCTCTTTGAACATGGATTCAAATTACTTTAATAGTAATTTTTCTTGGGTCCAGACCAATAGCACAGCAGGCAGGGTGTTTGCCTTGCACGCAGCCAACCCGGGTTCAATTCCCGGCACCCCGTATGGTCCCCCCAAGCATCGCCAGGCTCTGAGTGCAGAGCCAGGAGTAACCCCTGAGCATCGCTGAGTGTGACCCCCCCCCAAAAAAGTAATGTTTCTTGCAAGCAGTCACCAGAAATGCTAAATCCTCTCAATTTACACAATATACTAATACCAATGTACGTATGAAAAAAGGTTCAAACCACCTGTTAAAAAATGGGAATCCAATCAATAGAGAACATTTTCATGTTGGTACCTGGGCTTTCTATGTACAATTTGATGCTAGCATTAACTTCAAGACGAACTTAAAACCAGAGAGTAAGATTAGCCCAGTTGTCACTGTTCACAATAGCTAGAATCTGGAAAAAACCCAAGTGCCCAAGAACAGATGACTGGTTAAAGACGCTTTGGTACATCTACACAATGGAATACTATGTAGCTGTCAGAAAGGATGAAGTCATGAAATTTACATACAAGTGGTACTACATGGGAAGTATCATGCTAAGTGAAATGAGTCAGAAACAGAGGAATAGACATAGAAAGATTGCATTCATCTAAGGAACATAAAGTAACAAAATAGGAGACTAACACCCAAGAATAGCCGAGATAAGTACCAGGAGGATTACTCCATGGCTTTGAGGACAGCCGCACACGCTAGGGGAAAAGGCAGTTCAGATAGAGAAGGGAGCACCAAATAAAGGGTGTTGGGAGGTTCCTCTCAGGATGGGAAATGCGTGATGAGAGTAGACTATAGTCCGAACAAGATTGCCACTCAATGTCTCTTTTGCAAACCACAGCACTCAAAAGGAGAGAGATAACAAAAGGGAATGCCCTGCCACAGTGGTAGGGTGGGATGGGGGGAAGAGGGGTGGGAGGGATACTGGGACTGGTGGTGGTGAATGGGCACTGGTGGACGGATGGGTATTCGATCATCGTATAACTGAAACCCAAGCACAAAAATTTGTAAGTCTACAACTGTATCTCATGGTGTTTCACTAATAAAAATTTAAGGGGAAAAAAAAAAGTTTAGCCCAGTTGTAACTCATACACTGGTTAGTCTAAAAAAAAATTACCACCTGATCATATGTGTGTAGTGTAACTGACACAATCATATCCTATTATTTAGTTAACAAATACTAGTTAGCTATACAACAATCTAGTATAGGGCTATGAAAACAACCCAGAGTACATGCTTTACATTCAGGAGATGATGTTCAATCCCTGGAATCATTCGGTCTTCCCCAACCCCAACAGCACTTCAATATGCCCAACAATGGGTAAATTGGGCATACCTGAACTACAGGTATGCCCAATACCCAAAACCCAATAAATACTGTGATCTTAACTCACAGGAAAATTCTGATTATTTGTAAATTCACGTTAAAGTATTCTAACCTCTAAAATTTATTTGGTTTGTGGTCCACACCCATGGGTGCTCAGGGGTTACTCTTGGCTTTGCACTCTGGAATCACTTCTGGAGAAGCTGGGTGCATGGAGGGGTGTGGAGCAAAGGGGATGCCAAGGATCAAATCTGTCGGCTCCGCTTCTTCAAGGACTACCTGCTGTACTATCTCCCTGGTCCAAGCCTCTCAAATTTAAAATATCAGGTTAGAAATGTTACAATAAAATTCCAACTTCTCTATTAAATTTTTTCAACATCAGGAAAAGTGCAGAATAGTATTTTTTTTAACAGAGTTGAAATAACTTGAGAACTCAAAATGCAGACTTTGCAGCCCCCAAACTGTTAATACCCATAATATGGTAGTGGATGAGCAATTCACCTGTTCTCAGTATCTACTATAGAACTTGGTTCATAGAAATGACTCCATAAATATTTGAAAGATGAATGAACGATAAAAAAGATCGATTAACCTCAAAAAATTACAAAATAAGTCCCAAGATCATTCATTCATTAAAACTTCATTATCATCATTAATCATCTTAATGAAATTAGAGGAAAGTAAAAGCTTGCTCAAAGCAACAATACTCTATTTACAAAATATTTTTTAAAACATTCATCTATAAATAGTCAACCGCAAAATATGACTAGATGTACAAAATTTGAACAAGAAATAAACTTTTATCTCTTAATAATCAGAGCTCAGTGTTGGGGTGAAACGAAAAAGGGAAAATGTCTGTCAACGTATTGAGCATGTCTTAATGGATGCCATAAATCAAACCTTTCCATGAATTTTCTGGAGCAGATTCATGCCAATCTTTGAGCCTATTGTCACTTTCACACATGCTCACAGGAACAAAATGACAAAGAATGCTGTGCCAGAACCACAGGATCCAGGGCACAAAACACTTGATTAGCAATTGTCAAGGCTCTGAGTACTTCACATGAACAGGTATTTTCAAAATAAATGAAAATTACCGATACCTACATAAATCATAGAACCAAGGATTCAGCAGACTACTGGACTTCCAGATTTCTTTCCCCCCCCCCCCCCCCCCGGCCGTGACTATCATCTCCTTCTGTGACACAATTGGGAATGAAACTCCCCGTTTACCCATTGCTAAAGAACACCGCTAAACGTTTCCCAGACAAAAGAGCGTTCGTTTTTCAACGCGATACCGGACGCATGCATTCTTCCCCCAGCAAACGTGTGTGTGTGCTCTCAAATCTCATTTTCCGCCGTACCCTCCAAGTTTAAAATACAGCAAGTTGAAATTTCCGTCAAAAGCACTCCGCTGCCTGACTAGCTGGGTAACTGCTACATCTGGTGGCAGCACACTAGCATGCCAGACGCCAGCAAACTTAGAAAACAATTGTAACCGAGCCGGTGCGTGCCCGGCCAGATCCTTTTGCGCAGGAGCTGCCCGCAACCCCCCATCCGCATCCCCATCCCCATCCCCACCCCCACCCCCCACCCCACGACCCTGCCGGAGAGCAAGAAACAGAAGCCCGACTCGCCACGAGGGAGCGGAGGAAGATTCACGCCCCGAGCCCGCCCGAGGTGATGGCGAAGGAGAGAAAGTTGCCAGCATCTGGAGGGGGCGGTCTCAGAAGCCTGCCCACGAGTCAGTGGGGTCGCCGAAGCGGCCCCGAGCGGCCAAGCCGGGGATTCGAGTGGGGCTTTGATCATTTCTGCGGCTCTCCCACTGCTTCCTCCCCCCTCCCCGTACCACCACCACCGCGCGCGCACATACACACACACACACACACACACGCACACACGCACGCCAAGGGCAGGGACCCCCCCTCCCCCCCCCCGCCGCGCGCGAGTCGGGGAGGGGCGAGAGCGGGGGGGGGGGGGTGGGGGGGACACACACAACCCTCCGGGTCCGGGAGGCCGGGCGGGCGGCGCAGGGACCGCCTCCAGGGGAGGAGTAGGGGAGGGAAGGGGAGGGGGCTACGAGGATGAAAGCCGCAGCCCAGGGAAAAAAAAAAAGCCACCGGAGACCCGAGGCCAGGAGGTTAAGAGCACTGAGTGTACGAGCAAATGGAGCAGAAAGGGGCGCGCGGCCGGGCGGAGGCTTCCCACCCGCGCCGCACCGGCTCGCGGGGCAGCCCCGGCGGCTCCGCGCGCCTCGCCCCGTCCCCACCCGCGCGCGCACACCCCTGCCTGGGTCCGTCTCCCACCGCCACCACCACCAGCCCCCCCTCCCCACGCACCCCCACGCCCCCAGCCCCCCGCCAGCCACCACCCACACAGCCAGCCAGCGGCAGGACCTCCCGGGAGCCCGGCGGCCTCGCGGCGCCCCCACGCCACCCCCCCACCCCCCCCCCCACACACACACCTCGGGGTCGAAGAGCCCGGGGTGGGGGAAACCGCCGCGGCGCGGACGGGCGGGCGCGAGGGCGCGAGGGAGCGAGGGAGCGAGCGCGACGGCGCTTACCTTCCCTGGGCCTCCCGGATGGCGGCGTGTGATTCAGCAGGGACCTGGCCGCCGCCGCCGAACCCGGGGTTGGAGACGTGGAGAGCTGGGACCAAGATGGCGGCCCCTCCAAACTTCCACTGCTACTTTGGACACTCATCAAGCTACTTTCTGGGAACCCGACTCCCCCCCTGCGACGACGGCGGCGGCGGCGGCGGCGGCGGCGGCGGCAACGGCAACGGCACCGGCACCCGCCTCCGTCATGGCGGGGGCCGCGCTGAGGGCGAAGCGGAGGAGAGAGCGCGAGGGCAGAGGGAGGGGAAGAGTCAAGGGGATGGGGGAGGAAACCGAGCCGAGGGGAGGTGCGGAGGGGAGAGGTGAAGGCAGGCGAGGGGCCGGGGGGGAGGGAGAGGGGGCCCAGCGAGGGCGCGGGCGGGCGCGCCGGAGCTGAGGCGGCCGACGAGGCGTCGAGGGGGCGCCCGCCGGAGCCGGGGCGCGGGCGGAGCGCGGGCTGCGCCGGCCGAGGAGACTTCCGCGGGCGGAACCTGCCGGCACCTCTGCAGTGCGTCTGCCCCCGGCGTCGCCCGGGTGGCGGCGGCGGCGGCGGCGGCGGCTGCGGGCGGTGGGTGGCGGCTGAGGCGGCGGGATAACCTCTGCATCAGTTACAGGCGGCGGCGGCGTCACGCGCCGCCTGTGCAAACACTATCGCGAGGCTCCTGCGCCTCCGGTAGCGGCGGCCGCGGCGGCCGCGGGAGCAGGCGGGGGGGTGTGGGGGGGAGGGACCTGCCAGGGGTTGGGGGCGGGGGGTGGGGAGGGAACGGGCGCGCGAGGGAGGAGACGCGGGCTGCGCCGGGGCGCTCCTTGGCGCGCCGGGCGAGCGCGGCGCGGCAGCCCCCGACCGGCCGGCCGCCTGGCCGCCTCTCGGGCGCTGGGTGCTGGCGGGGGCGGTGTCCCGCGGCGCGGGCTGGAGGGAGACGAGTCCCGCACGCTGGTGGGGGTGGGGGGCGCCCCGGCCGCACCGCACCGCGCCGCGCCGCGCCGCGCCGCTCGGGGCTCCCGCTCCTGCTCGCCTACCACCTGCCTTTCCCCCCCACCCCCCGTCTCTCCCGCGGCAGCGCGCCTGGCTGCCGACCCACAAGCCGTCTGTGCAGAAATGCTGCGGCTCGCGCCGGGCCGTGGTTCCCCAGGAGTTGCGTGCGATCGCGTGTCCAGATGAAACGGAAAAGTTGCGAGTTGCCACTTTCTGCCCACCCCCCACCCCCACCGCCACCGCCACCGCCGTGCACTATGCAACAACTTGTGTGCACCTCCCTGTCTGTTGAATGGGAGGGATCGCCTCAGAAGAGCGCCAAGTAATTTCAGAGTTGTTTTGTATTTTTTTGGGGGGGTGGTGTTTGATTTGGAAGGGGGTGGGAATAAAAACTTGAGTTTTCTGAAGAGAGACGCCTCCTTATCGGCGTTGGCTACTGCGTGTGTGGCATATATAAAAGCAAGGCTTTGTTGTAACACAGGATGAAATTAAATAGATGAATGTGATGACCGAAGTCACGCGTTGAGGGAAACCATCCCTCTGTTAGAAAGAAGCCGGTCTGGTTTCTAGAAAGTTCTCTTCCATGCCGCTGCGGAGTCCCGATGACAAAAATCCCAAAGCACATTAACGGCGTTTGCAAAAATTTACAGATACGCTGCAGCTTTCAACACATCCATACACGTACGGACACACGAGGGACTGGGCATCGGAAGAGCAGTCTAATAGTTAAAGGAAAAAATACAAAGTTATCGCTCTCCTTAAAAGAAAACATTGAAAAGAACACTAAAAAGGTTATGATGGAGAGTAACTGTACAAGCAAGAGGAAATGGCATGATTACTAAGGGGACAAAAATGTCATTTCTCTTTTTCATTTTTATGACACTGCATTTTTCATAGTAATGTTTTGCTCAGATAAACTATCATACTAGAATTGTTTCGTTTTCTTCTGCTTCGGATTCTTCCGTGAGTTTCTAGCCATGCTGTTTTTCAAACTGAAGAAGCAGATCTCACAAATTAAAGGACCTTGTGAGGTATGTAGTTGCTAAACAACAAACCACATATTATTTAAAAGGTACAATTCGATGAGGCTTGACCCCTGAAACCATTTCTACAACCTGTCACTAGCTATAGTTTATATTTTCCAGAATTTCACATAAGTGGATTTAGACAAATTGTACTCTTTTGTCTGGCTTCTTCTAAATCATTCTGAAATTGATGGTTGCATTTACCAATAGATTGTTTCTTTGGGGAGCGGGGCCTCCCCAGAGATACTGGAGATTCTGGCATGTGCAGCAATGCCAGCCTAATGGTTCCTATGGGGCCATCGGAGCCACACCTGATGTGCTAGAATGAGGGGTAATTGGGGGTTGGGTAATGAGATGTGGGGGGGGTTGTCAAACTTGGGGCTTTAGCTATGGAAGCCTTGCAGTTTTGCCCTTTTGAGCTATCTCCTGACCCTAGATCAATTTCCTTTCCATGGTATAAGTGCACCACTCTTTGTTTATTCATTCACTTAATTTTGCATTTCTACATTTTTTTATCTATTAGTAACGCTACTGTGAAAGTTCACTTGCAAGTCTTTATGTTCCTTTCTCTGGGGTACATACCTAGAACCATATATACGGTTAGATTTTATTTTGTTTTGAGGGACCACACCGAGCAGTGCTCAGGGCTTACTTTGGCTCTGTGCTCAGGGATCATCACTCCTGGCAGGCTCAGGAGACCATACAGGGTGTCAGGTGTCAGGTGAGCACCTAACTTGTTGGTCTATCTCTTCAGTCCCACGATTAGATTTTTTTTTTAATATACCAAAGTACAAGTTTTAAAGCCAGAGAGAGAACTCACAGAACTGAGAGCACACATTGCAAACAGTTGGTCCAGGTTAGATATCCAGAACCAATAAGTCCCTGAGCATTTCCAGGAGGGACCCCTTAGCAAAGCCAGGGCTAAACCCCAGGACTGCTACATTAAAAGTGTGGGGGGGGAAGTACAGGTTTTGTTGTTGTTGTTTGCATGGGGTGTGTGTGTGTGTGTGTGTGTGTGTGTGTGTGTGTGTAACTGGTGCTGTTCAGAAGCCTTTCTGTGGCCAGTGATCAGTCCTAATGGTAATGGTGCCATAGATCAAACTGGGATTAACTGTGTGCAGGGAATACATCGTAAGCCCTGACAAACTTTATAAGGGAAACAGTTCTAATAACAACATGTAGGTAAATATATGTTCTTTGCATATATTAAGAGTGAGACTGATGAAAAGAGGCTAGGACAAAACCAAAATTTAAGAGAACAGGTAACAGCTTTTCTTGATTCAATTTTCCATCTATGAAAACCTGCTTAGAGTCATTGAGTCTAAAGCTGTGACCAATTTGAAAACATTAGGAAAAGCTCCGTTACTCTCCAGTAGTAAACAAAACCAGAGCCGAGGAGATTTGATGAGAGATTATCTTCCTACCCTCTTTAGAGCTTTAGATTACTTTTCTTGCTTTTGTTTTTGTTCTTGAGCCACACCCACCAGCTACTTCCAGTTCATTGCTTCCGATCACACCCTAAGGAATGCTTAAAGGATCATGGGGTGCTAGGGTTACAACCTGGGCCCCCTCCTTCCCCCACACACATTCACTTACACGTACAAAACATACATACCTGCCCTTTGAGGTATCTCCCCTGCCCTTCTGGTTACTTTGATGCCAGTCTGGGTTACATTTTATGTAGACTGGTTCTTTTTATTTTAAATGATATCTAGAGCATCACAGCATATATTATCAAATTACCCTAGATTTATATTTGTTATGAGTGCTGCCTAGGAACAACAATTAAATAGTTTCTGCTTTCTTATTGCTTACAATAAAGATAAAGAATGTCAATTTATGAAGTGGTCACTGCCAACAGGAGGGAGCTAATTAAATAAACTAGGACTTATCCTGGAAATGGAATGTCATCCCATCACTTTAAGTCATCTTCAAAGAATACTGAAAATAATGATAATATTTTTATGGTATAATAAGTGCAAAGATGGATATGATCTTAACTTATAAGTATGCATAATAACTCACTGAAAAGATTTATTCCATATAAAAGTTAATAATAGCTAGCTATTATTTTTTAAGATTACATAAATTTTTCATACTTCCTTTATGCTTTTTCAAATTGTATACACTGAATCATGTATTGTCCTCCCGTTATTCATCGATTTGCTCAAGTGGGCCCAGTAATGTCTCCATTTTGAGATTTGTTGTTACTGTGTTTGGCATATTGAATACGTCACGGGTAGCTTGCCAGGCTCTGCTGCGCAGGCGAAATACTCTCGGTAGCTTGCCGGGCTCTCCGAGAGGGGCGTGGAGGAATCGAACCCGGCTCGGCCAGGCTGGCTGCGCGCAAGGCAAACGCCCTACCGCTATGTTATCTCTCCAGCCCTTAAGTATGGAAAATGACTATATACAATTTCTGCAAATATACAATTTTATACAATTACATATTAAAGGAAGACTTTTAAATAATAAGTAAAGCCTTCTTGTGTAAAATTAGCCAGTGCAAAAACATCCCAAAAATGTTTGGTAGAATGATAGGATGAGTACAGTGCTAGATTTCCCAGTAGCAAAAGAAACAGAAAAGTCAGATTTGGACAAAATGTCAGACCCCACTGCTTTGGGAAAGGAGATCCTTAAGGGAAAAAAAATTAATTTGAAGTTAAACAAAATTTTAATTGAAATATTTTTTAATTTCAATTATTTGAGGTGGTTTACAATACTGTTAATGATAGGGTTTCATTTTCATGCACACAATGTGTCAACACCTCACAGAAAGAACTGTTCCAACACCACACTCTTCACCAGTGTCCTCATCCCTCCACCGTTGTCTCAGGATTGCCCCCTACTTTCCCCTCACTATCATCCCCCCATAGTACTAAATTTCATTTGTCTTTTCTTATAGCTGAGTATATGTACATTTATGCATTCAACTGTACTGGACACTTGGATTGTTTAGTCTATTTCACCTATTGTGAATAGTGCTAGACTTATAATAGGAACACAATTGTCTTTTTGGAATAGAGTATTTGAAAGTATTTTGGCAAGCTTCCTTGGGAAATATTCCCGGAAAGACAACATGGGAACACAGGAGTGAACAGAGCAAACAAAAGAAGAGCACAGTTAATCTGTCTAGAGAGAGTCAAGAAGGCTAGGGAGAAAGTTCTTTCTGTGAGGTAAGCCCTTCGTAAGGATAGGAACTCAAGCCCTTA